TTTCCTTCTCTGAAGATCTTGAGAAGGTTTTGGTTTCGTTGGAGGCGGTCGCCTATAAATGTAAAGGGTTTTGTTGTGGTGGTGGTTTGTTTTTTTTTTCCCAGAGCTGGAATGTATTATGCCTGGAAAATAAAGGGCAACTGTTTCTGATGGGAGAAAAATTTTCAGCCAGCATAAAGACGAAAAAGAGAAACCAATTTGTATTTTAGAAAGGCCCTTTGCTTTCAAAGTTGTGGGGTTTTTTTCCCTCAGAACGTATTAATTAATGAATTAGAAGCTCTTTCTTGAGGGTGAGTTTTCATATAGAAGGTGCCCTGTCCTTTTCTCAGGACAAAGTAGGTATCTCTGTACTACGAGATTCGGCTTTTTTCTTGACTCTGCCAAGCCTGTTACTTGCTTTTGGGGTGTGACAAGTTTGGGAGAACGCTGCCCTTGGAGCAGCACTGTCCGAAGTGCACCTGAAGCAGATGAATGGAGAAGTTCCTTGAAACTGAGATGTGCATTCTCTCTTTACAAATCGCTCGTAGGCTGTAATCTTGCATTCCCATTTTTCTAAATAAGGTTAATGGGCAAGCTCAGGTCATGGCTTCCAGGCAAGCTTTAATTTCTTTGATATGCTCTGTTACAACCTAAATCTGGTGGTTCTGCGTAATGTTAGATTCATACCTATTGTTTTATTTTCTTTTTTCTGGTGTTTAAAAAAAAACCCAAACACTTCCATTTAAAAGGTAGCATTCTCATTTTCTACTGTTCCAGGTTACGATTTGGCCCCTTTGCTTCCTCTGCTTTCTCTTCCAGATATGGCTGTTAAACTGCTGGGAAGAAATATTCCCTCAGTTCTGAGGGTGACTAAGGGAGTGGATCCGAAGATAAGCAGAAGGCTTTGCGTTAAACCCCCGGAAGAAAGTCAACTTCAGCCAAGAAGTAAGAGTTTCTGATAAAGATCATGCTACGTTTCATGACGTGAAATATTTAGATATCCAGGCTGCAATCATCAGACCAGGAATTTGGCTGACATAGATGCTAATATTCCAGATTTCGTGACATGGAATTCGGTCTTTAGACTGAAAAACTGAGCATTAAAGTTAGCAGTAAGATCTTGATTTTGAACAAAGCCAGGGGTCAATATTTCTTCTTGTGACAATAACATGGCTTTCACTTCATAGCAGGTCAGTAGTATCTTATCTGAAGTATGCTGAAGCTCTTCTGCTGTGCTCTGGAACTGACTGTTCAACCCCAGTGTAAACTAATCGATGTTTAGGAACATTGTATGAGCTAAAATACTTTTGCAGTTTTTCGAAGTACAGCCAACTGCAGCTGTTCACAAATTTGAACATGCCCTGCAGGAGAGAGTCAGTCTGGATCGTTGGCTTAGTTCATGTTCAAGCGTGGGGTTGTCCAGGTAAAGCTCTAATGAGACTTTCTGTATAACATGTTCCCTTCTTTGCCACCGGATGCTAGATACAAGGACCATACAGATGTGAAGCATTTTGCTTACTTCTGTGTTAGAAACATAATGCAGCTGTACTGGTAAGACCAAAGGTCTCCTTAACAGTGTCGCGTCTCCAGTAAAGGAGGTTCCTTACCTTTCTGTGAGGACTAATAGGAGTGGTGACCAATAGCAAGGAGCTGAGGAAGAGTACAGAAAGAGGACAAATGCAGCATTTCTCCCCTAGACTGCTGTCCCAGAAATGGCATCTGTGTGTTTAATGGTCCTTTTGCATTCTTTGGGACCATTTTTTAATGGTCTTAAATTGTGTTTAATGGATTTCCCTTTAATAAATTTGCCCAGTCTCTTAAAGCTGGATGTATATTTAGCGTTTGCATCCTCTGGGAAGGAATTCCTCAGCTGAACCATGCTGTGAGAAAACAAGTACAGTCTTGTATTTGTTTTTGAACCTGGTGCTTTTTTTGATCTGACGTGCCTTTATTCCGAAGCCCTTCCAAAACAGGACTTGTTCATTATAACCCCACTCCTGATGTCACTTACAATTCTAGTGCCCTCTGTCATGCTGAGGGGAGCTTCAGTCACTGCTTTCCCAGACCAAAGATCTCGGTCCATGATAACGGTTTCTTATATGGTGCCCATTCCATACCTGTGGTCCTCCTTACCAATTTTTTCTGTACCCATTGTATTTTTACTGTTTCTGAGATGAGGGATCAGTATTTCACATGTTTTTCAAAATGCTGGAGTCACGGTTTTATACAGTGGCATAGTAATGCTTTTGTATTGGTCTGTGTTCCTAAACATTGCTGGCAATGCTGTTTCCCTTTCGGGCTATTACTGAACATTTTTCCAAAACCTCTGTGAAACCCTGAGGACTTACTCCTCCGCGGTAATGGTTAGGTTAGAGTCTGTCATTTGTATGTGAACGGGAATTGCTTCCTGTTTATATACACAGGGTTTCACCATCCGTCTCATTGATCAGGATTCTGCGGCTCTTTGAGCTTAGCCCTCTTCTTTATGTTTCTGAATAACGTGGTGTTGTAAGCAAACTGTCTATCCGCCCTGCTTCCTAGATAATTCATGAATCCACGAGGTAGCACACAGCCATACAGGATACCTCCCATTGTTGGGTTGGTGGTTTGGTTTGCTAGATTGTAATGTTACGTTATGTGTGGACACCTTTCCCTGTTACATTCTGAATACTTTTTTATATGGAGTTTGAAAGACTCAACTGAAAATAAAGGGTCTAATCTTTGCCTACAGTCATCTGTTTGTTTATAACTCCAGATAAGATAAAATCTTACACTCTCTGGTAAAGTTAACATTCTGTGATGCAATGGTGTGGCATACTGCCTTTTCTGTAGAAGTTCCATTTCATTGTTTATTTTATTTTTTACACTACTTAAAATGTAACCTGAAAACTATAATACCACAGCAGCTTAGAAGGCTTAGATGCTGGAGCAGGTTCCGAAAATTTAGAGCTGCAGATATAGAGGTCTTGGGCAAGATTTGGCTTTTCCTTACAAGGCCTCAGTTTAATCCATACATACAGGTTTGTTAATCTGACTCTGATATACTTTTTGTTCCCTAACCAACTCTAGCAATCATACTTAAAATTCTGTATTGCTCACCCTATCTGGTTTCATTACAGCTGTGGCGATTCAGCTGCTCCGACTATTGGTTTTGGTGGTTGGTTGGTTTGTTTGGTTTTTTGTGTGTTTTGTTGGGCTTTTTTAGGTCAGCCTCCCTTGAGGGTGCCAGGACACAAGCCTACAGACTGGGAGAAGAGATTTTTGTTGTGGGCAGGCCATTTCAAAAAAACAGAGGATATACCAGAGACTGTCTCGTAAGTGCCATTTTTGAAGCTGTAAAAGAGACGTTGTCTATGCAGGAATAAGTTACTTGAATGCAACCCTAGAATAACTTTTCTTAAGAGGAATGGGTTTTCGCAGCTGAAAAAATCTTATGCTGCTTGTGTCTGGTGTGTCGTCTTGTAGATGAGATGACCTGAACTATTCCATATTGCTGAGATAATACACCCCTTTTGCTTTTTTTTCCGAAGGAATGACCAGCATCTATCACTTGTTTTATTAGGAAAACGTCACAAATGAGTTAATTTTCACTCTTCTCCCCCAATCAAAAAAGCTTTTTGCAAATATCAATGTGAGCTTTTTCTAATGTTTTTCTTTATATGTCAGTCTCCCATTGTGTGAAACCTGCATGACACAGCTGTAAAATAACTGAAACTCATTTAAAATATTTATTAATGAAAGTCTGGAGGGCATGGGCCAACTTTCCTTACTCTTGGAATTTAAACTAAGAAACAGTGGAAAGGCTCCCTAACAAAAAATACATAGTCAAAATTTCCCTGTTGCTGGTGGAGTCCAAATGTGAATGCTTCACCCTGTGTGAAAAGTAGAAAATAAAACCTGATGTTCTAGTTTGCCTATCTAAAATTAAGATCAAACTTAACAACAGGCAACTATTAGTTTAAAAAACATGCCTCATGGTAGTATAGTTATCTTTTAAAACATGCTTGTAATGCTTCTAAATATATGCATTTATTTAAATTAAAAAGATACAGTAAATCTTGTACTACTTGGGTAAGCAAACTATGTAGCTGCCCTCTAAAGGTACTCCATTTGCTTGCGTGCACAGTATCGGAACTGAAAATCCACTCGTACCTTAAGATTTTTCTAAATGTATCACAATGGATAACTATTGTTGAAAATGAATTTTTCAATTTTGTATTGAATCATTTTTCTTAAAATCGCATTTGAAATACATAAAGGCGTAAATTATTAAAACTTACTAAATTATGTCAGTTGACATATTTTTGCATACCAGACACTTGTTAGGAGTGTTTTTAAGGAAACAGCGGAGTGCTTGAAGTCATTTCAATGGTTTATTGAAAGGACAAACCAAGTTCTGATAAAAGCTGACCATTTTTGCAAGTGCATAGGGAATTCTTGTTTTTATTTAAGCAAATAGTTCAGCCAAAGCGGAGAATATGATTGAGAACTATAAAAGCGAAAAATCTTATTTGCCTGTTCTAAGCTGAATTAAGAGTGGGTTGCAAGGGTTTGTGATACAACTCAGTAATCTCATGAGATGTGGTGATCAGAAGTAACTCATTTATTAAATAAATGTTAATCTTAGCCACTGAATTGATTTAAAATGCAATCTTTACTGCCACCTGCACCCAAGTTGTTCATCACAGATTATTAGCAAAAACAAATAATCTGGTGTATAGACATGTTCCCTATGATCATAAATCTTGTACTCGGATCTAATACTCTGAAACAGTGATCAAATCACTCTTGCCATCATCTTCAAAAACAAGAACAAAACTCTCATCAGTTCTCAGGCCCTATGTGATTTACCATGTTGAACTATCGCAGATCCTTCGGTATCTTTTTTCCTCCAAGTGTAAGGGTCAAAATGCGGTAAAAGGTGCCATATTGACTCATGTTTGTGTACAGTGATCGTTTCCCAGTTCCCTTAAATCCACTATTCATGTTAGTTTTGAGGTATAAGCACCTAGTTTGATGCATTTATTCTTTCATTACATGATGTTGATGCTCTCATTGTCATTTGTAATTTTATAATATGCCCAATTTAATCAGTGAGAATATTAGACCCCCTTGAGAAGGGAGTCATCTGCTCTGAATTCTGCAGGGAGAATTAAATATATAGGGTATAGGTCTTTGGCTGTTGTGGAAAGAACATCTAAAAGCATTATGTTTCATTGGCCCTACTTGCATTGGTGTCTCTAACACAAATTTTGAATTTGCTGTAACTGAGATGTCATTTGAGTAGAAGGATATTCAGCGTTTAACCCAGCTTCTTGGGGAAGGTTTGTGGGTTTTAAAAGATAACAGCAGACTAGGCAACAGGTTTCCCAAAGGAGTTATATAGCTACTGGTGTGGCTGAAATTAAAAAAAAAAAATTAAAGTAATCCTCTGTCCAGAGCTAATGTTGGAAAGCTTACAAGCTTAGTTTCTTAGGAAAACAGACTACCTTAAGACTCTTTACGCTAGCAGGAGGGAAGTGGTAACTGCTGGTCTTTTACCAAGTCCTATTCAAAATTTCTGACGCGTACTACATTCAGCAGCCAGTGTGTAATCTATAGCACTATCAAATCCCGTAGTAGAGTAGTATTAGTAAATGCATCCCTCTCCTTTTCCTGTTCTCCCCCATAGTGAACACTTAAATACTGCAGCCTTCCTCCTCTGTGTTGCAGTCAAGTGGTCTAGAAAGGCAGTTACTGTCTCTTAACAATAACTGAAAGTTAAAAATGTTGGGTTTGTTTCTGACTTTGAGAGGAATTCCGTTGTGACCGCACATCTCCCAAGGTAGCTGGGGATCAGCCTTTCCCATTCTTGTAAAACCCTTTTGTGATAAGAGCCAAGTATGGTTAGCATTATACAAGATTACATAAATAGCATGCTAGGAGAAATCAAGCAATTAGCCAAATTATTTATTTGGGTCTTTGATAATGAGTCTTTTATTATTCTCTCTTGAGGATTGAAACAATCAGAGCAGCAAAGACCACGCTGCGTGTGAAGTTCAGCTATGCAATGATTGCCTTGACAATACTGGGATGCATAATCATGGTGATTAGAGGGAAGCAGGTAAGCACAGATTTTTGGGTGGTGAGTGCAAATCAATCTTCACATAAACTCCTCAGTTCCTCCTATGGATTGGTTAGTACTGTTTTGTTCTGGGATTTTTCATTTTATCAATGAGCAAAAATTAAAAATTAGTCCTCCTAGTGCCCCAGAAGAGACCCTTAATTAATTCCCAAGTCAGAAGGGGTGGTGTCACTATTAGACTGCATATGCTTCCTTTAAAAGAAAAAAAATATTTTCTCTCGGCGCAATACTTAGTTTTAGCTTGTGCTGTTTTAACTCCTTAATTTTGCTGACGGGCTGCGAGAGTTTGAAAGGAAAGAGCACCTTCTGTTCTGTGGATCTGGTAGGCAGGTAAATGCTCCTTGGGCCATGGTCCACACGGTTCACTGGACCTATTTACAAAAGGCTTTCTGCACACTGCAACACTTGTAGAATCAATATAATGGCAACAGCAAATGAGTATGTTTCTCCACAAACAAACAGACTTGAGAATTCTCAAAACTCTTTTTAAACACTGGAGGGATGGTCAGTAATAATTCTGTGCCCTTTAATTGCATTGGAAAATAGTCCTCCTTCAGTGTGGATGGAACAACTTCTCAGATTATTATTGTTTGTTGAATCAAAAAATTATTTCATAGAAAATCTCCCAAGTCCTGTAGATGCTGAGCACCCTTCACTTGCATAGAATTTGGCAAGGTATCAAAGAAGTTCAGCGTTATGGCAGAACTAGGTCTGTGATTTAATTTGCATCGTATGAAGAAAGCAAGAGTAAAGTTTAAGATTCCACATGCAGCGAAGGTTAGTCATGCTTTAATTTTATGTGGTTTTTAACATAGTTGGTGAACTATTAACTTTGTGGTATTTCTGTAAAGAAGCAAGGCGTGCTTTTTGTGTACTGAAGCCAAGCTAAAGTCTCTCAGCAGCATCAGTCTCATCAAAGTCAAGGAACGCGAGTGTAATCTGTGCAGCTCATTGTCGTGTTGCTTTTAATAAAAAGCACAGTGGTCACAGAAACACAGTCCACTACATTCTTTTAAGGATGACGGGAAGCAGAAAACCCTGAGCTTAAAGCACCTACATGGGCAGAACCTTACTGGCATGCTGCCTTTCTCTGAAGCAGTTCTTCTGAGGACAACGTTCAGGTCTTGTTTCTGTAGACTACTAAGTGTTCTAGAGAAACCGTAAAACTAGTAACAGAGTCTCAACCCCAGCACTGTGAACTACTGAAGTGTCATGTGACATTTCAGTCAGCATTCACCTATGAAAATGAAAAGGATGCCGCACTGAAACAAAACAGTGGAAAGGTTTTTTCCCTGGCTTTAGCAGAAGAGATCAAACATTGACAATTACCAGAATATTTTCCTCTTACATTGGAGTATTATGAATGCAAATACCGGAAAGAGAGGACAGCTGCTTTGGGACCCTTGTTTTCACAGCAGCTGGAAATCTATTATGTTTAACTTTTGATTTGTTGCCAGGACCTCTGACTTATGAAGACCAGAGATTAGTATTAAATATTGACCAGAAGCACAGAATACATTCGCCTGTGCCATTAGCAAAAGATTAATTTATTCCCAGAGAAGTAATGAGTTTAAGCCACAATGGTCTCTGGTTGTTTTAACCCTCTCTCTTTCTGGCATTAAAGCTGACAGAACTGCACCTTGGTAAGGATAGGCCAGATATTTTGTAAGCTACTGATTCACATTTCATCTCTGTGATCCTTCAGGTGATGCTTTCTGCTCTTGCTTTCATGTTGTAGGCTATAAAAAGGCGTGAATCCCTTACAAGCGTAAACTTAGAGAAGAAAGCTCAGTGGAGAGAGGAAGCTACTCAGAATACATCTGCTAAACCTTAGAAGGAAATGAAGAAACGAAGGACTGGGGAAGAAAAGCTGATGTCCCTTTCAGCACTGGAAGGAGGATCTAGTCGCATCTTTCCTGTGTTAGTTCTCTACCGTCACATTCAAGAAAGAATTAATACATTATCCCGTAATCATTAAAAACAGAAATACCTATTTTCTTTTCCTGACAACCTCCCATTTTGTCCAAACTCTCTTCTTCAGGTTTAGTGGAACAGGACAAGTGAGCAAACTGGATAGAACAGTTGTTTCCCACATGTGCTATGCACAAGACTAAGCGGTTTTTAGAAGACTGCAGGAGCTGCACCTGCATTCGTGGTACCAAGCTGCTTTACGAAGTCTCATGCTCTTATTTACCACACATGAGACAGTAACTGCGACACAAAGGGATAGCCCATTTGGCTTCCAGTTGTACAGCCATACTTGTAACAAACAAAACACCTTTGCTGGGCAGTCATCCACTATCCGTGACTATTTCAGGTACCTTCAGGTAGAGTGGTGCTGTATGTACTGTATAGTTACAGGCTGCTTAAAATATTCCGTATGTTCCTCTGTGTAAGAGAGAACAATTATTAGGGGAGCCTTTGAGTGAAGAATAATTGTGTGATCTGCATTAACATCTTCAAAATGATCAGAAGTTCTTACCTGTTCTAGGTCCAATATATTCTGGCTGCATTTGTTAAAGTGGAGGATTACTTTCTGTGGAGAACTGCCTGCCTTTGGTAAAAAAGCGGAGGGGGAGTGATAGCGAAATGGCATTCCAGAGAGCCAGTGTGTTGCAGATGACAACCTAACAGATTTTTACACCAGAGCTGGTAGTGAGATGAGAGAACATCCAAGCTAAGAGAATACAGATGAGTATTTTGAGGAATAGTGAGCAACAGCTTCAACCTATGCTATCAGATTTAGTATTTAGAGGTATGGGAGTATGAGAAGGTCAATCAGACATTGCTGGTCTCTGCTGCTGAGCTCTTTTTTCCAAACCTCACTTAGATTTACTTGCATTTTTCCCCCCTTTAAATTGTCATCTGTGCTTCCCTGATACTAGCTAACTTAAAAGATCATCTGCCTCAAGTTTTAGAAGCAGCAGACCCAGTAACACCTGCACAGAGCAACTCCCAACAGTCCTATTTATTTCTGGCATTAATCCCAGAAGAGTCACACACTGTTCATGCTGAACAGCTTGCAGCAACTGGAGACCAGTGTTTTTCGTCCTCCTCTCTGTTTGGAAGGAAACTTGGACTGGGACTGTCAGGGCTGTTTGAAACCGCGTTACTTCCCAGCACTGCCTGCTAACTGGCCACTGGGGACACCACAAACAGGAGAGGCACCTGTGTTTGACAGATACAGTTTGTGAACTTCCTGATAGTGGGAGGCAGATTTTTTTTTTTTTTTTTGAAACTTTGTCCTGATTATTTTTCTTGTACTACTGAAAATCAGCACTATTGCTGAAAAAAGCCCTACTAAAAAATGCAGGGTAAATCTTTATACCCAGAAAAGAGAAGCAATAAGGTATCTAGTGTAGTCCTCTCTAGTACTTTGTCCTTTCCTCTAGAACTAGAAAATAACTGCTGCAGTTCACGTTTTTATGAATTGCATTTCTAGGTACCACTCATATTGATGAGATGTAACCAATCAAACAAGCTGTGCAGTCATTCCACCACAGAAGTTACAACCTTCAGATGATGCTACAACTTGTTATCAGATTCTCTGTAAGGCAATTGTTGCAAGTATGCTGTCAATCAAACAGAGCAGGCTTCCACAGATCGGTCCACTCAGCACTGAACGTACGTCATGCTTAATCCCACTGCAGGTATGTGAGCAGATCTTTCACAACAGCTCTGGTTCTTTGCCACGCTAGTAAGCACACAGGTGGGAACCAAAAAATCTTCCCAGACTGTGCCTGTGCTCGCTTACGTATTAAGTGAGGCCAAAAAGGAGAACACACACTTCACACAGTATTTCAGGCTACCATGAAAAGAAACTTGTGATTTGATGTATGCTTGGTGATGGCAGAGCTTAAAACCCTGCACCTCTCCTCCGAGCGCACTCTGAACAGAACTGGCAGGTACCTCTTCTAGTTTTGGAAATATAACTCTGTGGACTCACCCAGCTGGTAAAGTACTTCAGATAAAAATATGTAAAATACCTCTTAGAGAGCAATACCCCAGAGCAGCAACGGTCACCAGTTTTTCATTTTCCTTGAATTTCTATAAGTTTTATGCCATTTACTATAAAAATGAACTCTGGTCAGGTGATTTGACAGAAGGTGCCTGTAGAAGTCATACACCCTTTCCTTCTATCACTCTGGTATCTCCACCATTTCAGTATCTACCATAAAACCTGTGCATCGCTGTGCACATTTGTGTTTTCTTTTGTCTTCCACATAGACTCCAGAGTCTCAAATAAAAGTTTAAGTCATTGGGCCTTGTGCTGTCTCCGTTGCAGTATTTTTTTTGCAAGCAGTTGGGCACTAGAAAAATGATGTATGTCTTTCTCCGAGGGGCAGTGAAAGAAATAATCTCTTTCCTAGTGTGATGATTTCCAAGAAAGCATCTCCAAACACAGACAATGGTTAAAAAACCTCCCACACATTTCTGGCCTAAGCAGCCAGTCTAGCTGACTGGAGAACTTCGTAATATACCTCAGATCACCTGATTTCATAGCTTTAACCTACAGCCTTTTAACAATGCCTGATCGAGGGGAACATACTAAGCCCTTGAACAGTTCTCCCCTTTGTCTTGGTCTGCACCACCATTCACATTTATTCAGAAAAGTCAAATTATCAATCCTGTACCATATGCCACGTTGCTGCACCTATTCCAGAGGCAACTGAAACCTCCCAGTGCAATGATCAATCTGACAGCTTGAACACCACCTTAGAAGAGCATGCAAGAACCCTACGGACATGGCCACAGCAGTCCAGAAAAAGGTCCTGTTTATTTTCCTAGCAAGACTCAGGCATCTGAAGAAAGACTTTCATGTCTACTGGCTAAAATAGTCATGGGGAAGTATGAACAATGTGTTATGGCAACCCCAGAAGCAAAGAAACCATGCTGGAAAATATGGGAATTACTTAAAGCTGGCACAGAGGTACAACAGTGGTTCTGGAAATCCTCAGGGAAGCACAGAGGTGCATCACCAGGAGCACTGTCACATTTAGGACTGGGTGGTGGGACTTGGTTCTTAAGACTCTCAGTGCTGATAGTTACAGAAACGCAGGTTTGAGAACATGGGGGTTTTCCGGGATCACTGCCTCCTTCCCTTCCCTTAACACTAAATGAAGGGACTTTGGCCACCAGTAGTTGGTTTGCATCAAGGAACCAATGCAGGAATTTAAGAACTGGCTGAAGTCTCTAGGCAGCGGTTCCTTCAAAGGGTTGTTTGTGTGTGTAGTGTCTTCCCAGGAAGCCCAAGCACTGGTCCTGGCTTAGTTACTGAGCTTTAAATAACCTTCTGCCCCATCGTTTGTTGCATCCTCCTGAATCCAAGAGAGCTACCCTGCCACATCCTACTGGGAGCTTTACCAACAGAAAGAATGACAGCTCCTGTTTGCTGCCCCAGCAAATATGCAACACTCAAAAGGCATTACAGGTCTGCGGACAGGATCGCTAGATAACAATTCCAGGTAGTCTCACATCTTCCCTTTTCTAACACCCAGTTTAACTGATGCTGCGAGAACAACTCAGAGATTCTTGTTCTCATGAATCTTTTCACCTTAGCAGCTTGTGGGGTTTTTGGAAGGTGCTTAGACGGGATCTCCACAAGCAGACAGAAATAAATGCACTAACTTCCATTTTCAGGATAAGGGGAGAAGAAAATATGTGAGATCACTTTTCTGGCACTACACACCGAAAGGCAGAACTAAGAGAAGAACCCAAGAGCCCCAACAGCTCCCTGGCCTAGCCTCCGCACATGAAACCACGCTGTTTCCCACTTACACAAAAAACAAAACCAGATCATTTAATACACAGAGTGACCTTCACAAAGGTGGAAGCTAGAGGTGTTCCCCGAGTTAGCTCCTGTTTGAGCAGCAGCACATCCTTCAGGAAAGCAGAGAACGCTGGTTTCAATGTTTCTAGCAGGGGACATAACCCTTGTTACTCTCATGTCACTCAAAAAAATGCCTCATTTCTCATCTGAATGGAACTTACAACCTTTTAACAGCCATTGCTGTTCCTAATTTTTTAGCAACTCTTTTTATCTGCTGATAGCAACACTGAGAGCATTCCTGTGAAAAAAGCTGCACCAATGCCAAATATAAAGTTAATAAAAATTCCCCATTTCTACTGCAGATTTGTTCTTGTATGTATAAGCATTACAGTAGCCACAGAGAATCACGTTCGGAAGCAGTGTTCAAGTGATAACGTGTAATGATCCTCATACTCATTCAGAGGCACTTTTCCTCCCAGAGTCCTTCACCTGTGGCCTGAATGTTATTTATTAGATGGGTAACGTTACACGCCAGGTTTGGCTCTATTAAAATGCAAATAGTTTATTTGCCCTTGGTTTACCAAGTAATTCTGATCAGCCTGTATCAGTGAGCTGCTCCTGTCATAATTCACAAGTCTGATCTCCCTTTCATACTCACATAATTTGCAGCCTTTATTAGAAGTAAATTTTGGTTCTTTTCAACCCATTAATAAGGCTAAGTAAAGCAAGGCCAAGAACTGGTTACTGGAAGATCCTGATGGAAATACACTCAATTAAGAACCATTTAAAATTAAATTGAGACCTATGAGTTAGCCACATTTAAATCCATTTAATGTGTGCCACGTTGATTTTTGCATTGTTTTAGTTTTCAGTCAAAATGTTATGCAGTACCAGTCAAATGCCTTACACAGTCTAAGTATATATGACAACAATATTACCTGTGTCAACCAAGCCTGTCACTTCAAACAAACATACCAAGTTTAAAGATTTATACTTATCTGATCTGAATTCACATATCCACTGCAAAAGTAACAAACACTGGCCAGGCTCCTTACACAGGAAGG